CAGTGATGATTCCAGGATTCTTCGGCATTGAGTGTTGTCTTCTCTGGTGATGAGTCCTGCATTTCTGTAGTTAATTAAATGGTTGTGTGAATTTTGGTGTTGAACACAGGCATTCCTTGGATCGCCAGATCTGCCTGCATACTGGTGTTCTGAAATACGTGTTTGGAGGTCTCTGCTTAAGTGTTTATATTTACACTGTCAGTATTTTATACCATTTATTTCCAACTCTCGAGGTCAAGAGATACAGACTACCTTCGTTTCTTGCTTAGTAAGTAAGTTTATTCAGGTACAGTACAGTGGACCCCCGCATACCGTTGGCATCACATAACGTTAAATCCGCATACCGCTACATTTTATCGCCTAGATTTTGCCTTGCATACCGCTAAAAAACCCGCTCAACGCTGTTCGTCCGAGACGCGTCTAATGTGCGCCCTTAGCCAGCCTCACATGTTCCGCCGGTGGCATTGTTTACCAGCCAGCCTCCGCGGTAACATCCAAGCATACAATCGGAACATTTCGTATTATTACAGTGTTTCTGGTGATTTTATCTGCAAAATAAGTGACCATGGGCCCTAAGAAAGCTTCTAGTGCCAACCCTACAGCAATAAGGGTGAGAATTACTATAGAGATGAAGAAAGAGATCATTGATAAGTATGAAAGTGGAGTGCGTGTCTCCGAGCTGGCCAGGTTGTATAGTAAACCCCAATCAACCATTGCTACTATTGTGGGCAACAAAAAGGCAATCAAGGAAGCTGTTCTTGCCAAAGGTTTAACTGTGTTTTCGAAACAGAGATCGCAAGTGATGGAAGATGTTGAGAGACTCTTATTGGTGTGGATAAATGAAAAACAGATAGCAGGAGATAGCATCTCTCAAGTGATCATAAGTGAAAAGGCTAGGAAGTTGCATGAGGATTTAATTAAAAAAAATGCCTGCAACTAGTGATGATGTGAGTGAATTTAAGGCCAGCAAAGGTTGGTTTGAGAGATTTAAGAGGCGTAGTGGCATACATAGTGTGATAAGGCATGGTGAGGCTGCCAGTTCGGACCACAAAGCAGCTGAAAAATATGTGCAGGAATTCAAGGAGTACATAGAAACTGAAGGACTGAAACCTGAACAAGTGTTTAATTGTGATGAAACAGGCCTGTTTTGGAAGAAAATGCCAAGCAGGACCTACATTACTCAGGAGGAAAAGGCACTCCCAGGACATAAGCCTATGAAAGACAGTCTTACTCTGTTGATGTGTTCCAATGCTACTGGTGATTGCAAGGTGAAGCCTTTATTAGTGTATCACTCTGAAACTCCCAGACCGTTCAGGCAAAAGAATGTCCTCAAGGAAAATTTGTGTGTGCTGTGGAGGGCAAACAGTAAGGCATGGGTCACTAGGGACTTTTTCTATGACTGGTTACACCATGCATTTGCCCCCAATGTGAAAGATTACCTAACTGAAAAGAAATTAGAGCTTAAGTGCCTCCTGGTGTTAGACAATGCCCCTGGTCATCCTACAGACGTGGCAGAGCGACTTTATGGGGACATGAATTCATTAAGTGAAGTTTTTGCCTCCTAATACCACTCCTCTCCTGCAGCCCATGGACCAGCAGGTTATTGCAAACTTCAAAAAACTGTACACAAATGCTCTGTTTGAAAGGTGCTTTGTAGTGACCTCAGAAACTCAACTGACTCTAAGAGACTTTTGGAGAGATCACTTTATATCCTCAATTGTGTAAACCTTATAGGTAAGGCTTGGGAGGGAGTGACTAAGAGGACCTTGAACTCTGCTTGGAAGAAACTGTGGCCAGAATGTGTAGACCAAAGGGATTTTGAAGGGTTTGAGGCTAACCCTGAGAATCCTATGCCAGTTGAGGAATCCATTATGGCATTGGGAAAGTCCTTGGGGTTGGAGGTTAGTGGGGATGATGTGGAAGAGTTGGTGGAGGAGGACAATGAAGAACTAACCATTGATGAGCTGATAGATCAACTTCAACAGCAAGAGGCCAGACCTGAGGAAACTGCTTCGAAGGAGGGAAGAGAGAAATTGAAGAAATTGCCACTTCAAAGATTAAGGAAATCTGTGCAAAGTGGCTTGAAGTGCAAACCTTCATGGATGAAAATCACCCTCACACAGCTATTGCAAGCTGTGCTGGTGACTATTACACTGACAATGTTGTGAAACACTTTAGGGAAGTCATAAAGGAATGAGAGGTACAGGCCACTATGGACAGATATGTTGTGCAACAGAACTCCAGTGACTCTGAAGCTGGTCCTAGTGGCATTAAAAGAAGAAGGGAAGTAACCCCAGAAAAGGACTTGACACCTCAAGTCTTAATGGAAGGGGATTCCCCTTCTAAACACTAACACTCTCTCCTCCTCCCATCCCATCAATCATCACCAGATCTTCAATAAAAGTAAGTGTCATGTAATTGTGCATGCCTTTTTCAGTTTGTGTGTATTAAAATTAATATTTCACGTGGTAAAATTTTTTTTTTTCATACTTTGGGGTCTCTTGCATGGATTAATTTGATTTCCATTATTTCTTATGGGGAAAATTCATTCGCATAACGATAATTTCGCATAACAATGAGCTCTCTTGCACGGATTAATATCGCTATGCGGGGGTCCACTGTATATGTAAACAAATACAGTTACATAAATTATCATACATAGCAGCATATGTGTAGATTACCTAGGATAACCGAAAAAAAAAGTCAGACAAAGTGACTTGTTTCCATTGGGGTGCTTGCCTTTTAGCTTGTGGGTTGTCCTCTCTATTAATCAAAATTCACTACACTTTGCTGCACGAACATAAAAGCAACAAGACACTATAATTCTTTAACTGAGAGTATTACTGCACTACATTTTACATTTTAATTTATATTATTAACCCAATTCTAAATTTTACTGAATACTGTACTAACATTAAAAGAATTAAACATGATTTTACTATCAGTAGAATAAATTTATACAATGGTTCTGAGGGCACACAGAGACTTAACTTAGGATAGCCCAATAAAGTTCTGTGACTTATATACACTGTGGGTAACAGTGAAATTGCTGTAAGAAAGTTTATTCAGGTATAGGTACACATAAATACAGTTACATAAAATATTATACATAGCAGAATATATGCAGATTACCTAGGGTAACCCAAAAAAGTCAAATTAACTTATTTCCATTGGGGTCCTTGTTTCTTCAGAAGATAATAAACAGAAGACTTAATTTTTATTGCTAATCCAGAGGGTACTTAATAACCCAGGATAACCCAAGGAGTGGGGCTTATACCTGGAGTAACCTGGAGAGGGTTTCAGCAGTCAATGCCCCCGCAGCCCGGTCTGTGACCAGGCCTCATGGTGGATCAGGACCTGATCAACCAGGCTGTTACTGTTGGCCACACTCAACCCAACATACAAACCACAGCCCAGCTGGTCAGGTACTGACTTTAGGTGCTTGCCCAGTGCCTTCTTAAAGACAGCCAGGAGTCTATTAGTAATCCCCCTTATGTATGCTAGGAGGCAGTTGAACAGTCTTGGGCCCCTCACACTTACTGTGCTGTCTCTTATCGTGCTAGTGGCACCCCTGCTTTTTATTGGGGGGGATGTTGCACTGTCTGCCGAGTCTTTTGCTTTCATAGGAAGTGATTTTCATGTGCAAGTTTCGTACTAGTCCTTCTAGGCTTTTCCAAGTGTATATAATCATGTATTTCTCCTGCCTGCATTCTAGGAAGTACAGGTCAAGCATTCCCAGTAGCTGAGGTGTTTTATCTTCGTTATGCGTGCCATGAAGGTTCTTTGTACACTTTCTAGGTCAGCAATTTCACCTGCCTTGAAAGGTGCTGTTAGTGTGCAGCAATATTCCAGCTTAGACAGAACAAGCGACCTGAAGAGTGTCATCATGGGCTTGGCATCCCTAGTTTTGAAGGTTCTCATTATCCATCCTGTCATTTTTCTAGCAGATGTGATTGATACAATGTTGTGGTCTTTGAAGGCAAGATCTTCTGACAATCACCCCCAGGTCTTTGACATTAATTTTTCGTTCTATTGTGTGGTTGGAATTTGTTTTATACTCCGACATAGTTTTAATTTCCTCACGTTTCTAATTGTGGTCCATCTTAGGTGCTCCTCAAGATACAACTAATAACTAACTCCTAGGTAGCTACCTATTTACTCTAGGTAACAATAACAGGTTTTAGGACTTGCTAATACATCCCTCCTCACAAGGGGTTCAACCTCAAGGCCTTGTGATACTTATTGTAGCCTGTCAGACCTCTGTTTCAGGCAGTAAGTACAAAAATCCCCCCATATCCCCTCACAGACTAAAAGGACAAATGACTAGGGATTAACAATAAAAAAAATTACTGAATTTATGACTGAAAATATAAAATAAATTTATAAATGATTCTGACCAGGAAATGTAACTGAAATGGAATCTAATAAGAGAATAAATCTACAGTGAACTTTGTATAAAATTATTTTACCGGTAGACAAAATGTATTAAGAATTTCTGTAATTATGATAATTATGGGGAGTGCTAAACCCATAAGGTCATACAACTGGGCATACAACTAAGCACTAGTAAGTTTATTTAGGTAAAGGTACACAAAAATACAGTTACACAAATTATCATACATAGTAATATATGCATAAATTGCCCAGGATAACCCAGAAAAGTCAGATAAAGTGACTTATTTCCACTAAGGTTTAACCCACAAGGGGCATATGCATACACAAATACAGTGGGCAGTGTGATGCAATAAGATTTGATCCAGGGAAGGTGAGGGATATATATAATTATAATAATAGGGAGCGCTAAACCCGTAGGATTATACAGCGCATGTAGGGGAGGTGGAAAGTATTCAGGCTCAATTCAGGGAACTGGAGCACAGATCCAAATCCTTAGATCAAGAGCCCCTCACCAGCGTCAAGAAACCTCCCTTGAGGAAAGGTGGGGGGGAATAGCTCCAGTTCCTTGAATTAAGAGCCCTGCAGCAGGCACCAAAGCAGCTTACCTGTAATATTAGGCTTGATCCAGTCAGCTCTGTCGGAGCAACATTCATAAAAGGTGCAGCGAATTTTATCAAAGCCAGCATAAAACATTGCTCCCGCCAGTCCCACTGCTGTCACTCCCACTGACACAGAGCCATCACACCTGAAGGCTGTCAGCACCACTAGGTAACACAAAATAAAGGAACGTAAATCCATATTACAGCTGTTTCTGTTTCGTCTCTGGGATTTATAGGGCCACTGTAGCTTCTTGTTGGGGTTGTAAAGGCCACTGACAGCTCACCTAGTATGGAACTTAAGTCAAATCAAATTTATTCAGGTCTAAAGAGACTACACTGCGGGGTTTACATGTTATAGGATATTGTGTGGTTTACATATTATAAAATACTAATTACAGAGAGGGCCACTATCACACCTAGCATGGCTAGGCATTTCGGAGAGGATATATTGTCCAAAGCTGGGCCATGAAAGATACTCCCTTTAATAATAATAATAATAATAATAATAATAATAATAATAATAATAATAATAATAATAATAATAATAATAATAATAATAATAATAATAATAATGATAATAATAATAATAATAATAATAATAATAATAATAATAATAATAATAATAATAATAATAATAATAATAATAATATCTTTATTTCTACAAGAAACAGTAAATAAAATATCTCAAACAGATTGGGTGGATCCCCTGGCCAAGCCCCAGCAGAGCGGGATGACCACACCCTCACTGCTTAGTTGTATTGATCCCTCCTTCCGGGAGACGGAAAAATATGTTGGACAAATCTAGGTAGGAATTATAAAGGAAATAAAATGTCTTCGGAAAGAGTAACTAGAACAGTGTCTCCAAGTAAATCAGGTGAACCCTCTTTCCTAAGCCCAGGCAGTTAGACGCCCACACACACACACACGAGCTGATGTTCCATACAGCATCCCACAAGAAATTTTCACGAAAGCTAGAGAATTAGAGCAGAATTACAGGGAAAGTACTACAGTAGATCAAGGAATTCTTGATGATAAAAAGCAACGACTTACTGTGAAGGAGGAGGTGTCGGAATCTATGTGTGTAACGAGTGGGGTTGCACAAGGATCAGTACTTGCTCCACTACTGTTTCTTGTGTGTAAACGACTCAACAGAGATGATTGAGTCAGAGGTGTTCTTGTTTGCAGACGAAGTGAAACTAATGAGAAAAGAAAAAGGAGTTAGATCAGGAGAGACTACAAACGGATTGGGACAAGCTGTATGATGGTCTGACACGTGGCTATTGGAATTTAGCTCCAATAAATACAAAGTTATGAAAATCGAAGAAAGGCAAAGCTGTCCACTGTATCATATACTTGTAGAAATAAAAAGCTTATTATTGATTATTATAGATTGACCCTACACCTGAATCTCAGCACAATCAGAAACACTCCATTGAAAACAAATCTGATGTTTACCTGGAGTTTACCTGGAGAGAGTTCCGGGGGTCAACGCCCCCGCGGCCCGGTCTGTGACCAGGCCTCCTGGTGGATCAGAGCCTGATCAACCAGGCTGTTACTGCTGGCTGCACGCAATCTAATGTACGAGCCACAGCCCGACTGGTCAGGTATGACCAATTGCCTAGCAGACTATGTATAGTTAGTTCAGTATCTTTATTATGCACCCCACATCCATCCTGTGGGTGGTAGTCAAAAGATTACAGAGGTACATAATGGGTCCAGGGACTGGACTCCAAAGTTATGATAGCTGAGCAAGTTTAGAGGTAATGAACTCACAATTTCAAAGGTAATGAACTCACAATTTACAAAGGTAATGTGTATAGTGAGGGCGAAATGTCTCAGGAAGAGAATGGGGGAATTTATCACTGATACTAAGGGATAAGCTTTTTATGACACCTGTAATTCAGTATTTTTTCGCTACCGTTCACAGCATGAGCAGGGGGATGCACAATACACTAGCTGTTCAGGCGACACAGCTGAACTAAATCGCCTGAGTAGCTAGTTTTTTGATAAATTAGACACCTGTGCAGCACTTGGGTATCTTTACTGAGGAAACGTACCATACAGTGGCTTCATCAGTCCATACAAAGAAAAATAATGATGATCAGAGGGAGTTTGTGGTAATCAGTCCCTCAGCCTGGAGTCGATGTAATCAGTGTATCTATCTTGCAAAAAAATGATATACTGATTACATCGACTCCAGACTGAGGGACTGATTACCTTAAACTCTTTCTGACCTTCATCGTTCTTCTTTGTATGGACTGATGAAGCCACTGTGTGGCGAAACGATTTCTCAGTAAAGATACCCAAGTGTTGCACATATGTCTAATTTATCAACTTGTCGGTTCTCTGAACCATTTGTCAGCAAGTTTATTTTTTTGTACACTCGCAGCTCATGCTGTGAGCGGTTGCTCAAAAATGAAGATTACAGAGATCACAATGAGCCTGTGTCGGACCTGCACCAGGCGTAGTTACATTGTGAACATTTAAGTATCTTATTATCCTAAAACATTAATCATCATTGGGTCGCAGTCTCTTAGAAAACAATTAATTCATCTAGGCGATGCAAAATATTGTTACAGTGTCAGATATCTTATCATTAACAATGAAACGTTTTGCCATACCCTGTAGGACTTGCATGGTGTCTCTGAAAGGTCGGATATTTGTACACTCTGTGATATATTGTTCGAGTCTGTGGCCTTGTCTCTGTCCACATAATTTGTATTTCATGTCATTTGCGTCTCTATACAAACGGTACTGCAAGTGATCCTTAGTCTAGCAGTAACATCTTGGAATCTAATGACTTTCTTGCTTTCTCCATAAATGTACTTAACCATACATTTCATTGTGAGTGATAGTTGATATGAAAGTTCCTATTTGTACTGTTCTACTTTCCTCAAACTCGTTTGCTAATTATTTTCTGACAATATTTGTTAAAACTATTGCAGAGTCAGTCGTCCACATTCGATATTCCACTAAGGCCGGTACTCGGTTTCATCTTCGACTAATTCTCAGGGATACACTAACAGTAATAATTATATTGATCCTTATTTAATTTCCCATGAATAAAATTCTCCACAAAATATTTTAAGATAGACATTCAGTATTTAAAAATGATGATTTAGGCAAGAATATTTGAAAAATATATTGATTTTATTTGCAAAATGGCTGCGACGTGACATGCAATTCTCACAGCAGTCATGGCAACACATAGGCGGAGTAGCTGACAACACCGATGGGTCTGATTTCTCCATTCTTTTTTCTTCCCTTAAGGCACAAAGTAATGCACGAAAAAGGACATAATGGTCTCCGAGATAACGCCAGCTAGCCAGGTATACATTTGGAATTCTGGAGAGCTCAGAGAGGAGGCTTTCTGATATACCAAGTGTTGGACTGAGTATTTGTTTCATGTATTATGTCTTAAACCCCAGAAACCATCTGCTGAACTCCTTGGAATGACCTAGCACACTTAAACCACATCAGAAGCTTCAAGAGTTAAAAGCTCACTTTCAGTATCACTATCAAGGGGATTCACTATCAGTGTTTAAAGCTCTGTGCTGAAGCAGGTATCCTTTGAGAGCAATCATATTTTCAATAGTAATTAACCTTATTTCTCCAGTAGTATTTCTCTCTTCTTTCGTGCTGGTTTTAACTTTAAATTTAGAGGTTTTAAAGTGTTCTTTCGTTTACATTTCGGGATAAGCAACAAATGTTTTTTTCATGCAGAAGTTTAATATTTTACAGCAGTTTGAGGGCACATATATATTATAGATTAAGACACTTGTGCAACAATTGGGTATATTTATTGATGAAACGTTTCACCTGCACAGTAAGCTTCTTCAGTCAAATGCAGAAGGAATAGGTGTAGTAGTAAAATAAAGATGATGTAATCAGTTCATCAACCTTGGAGGAAAAGTATTCTAGATGGTCAGTCCCTCAGCCTGGGACTGAGGGATGACCACATATATGTGTTGAAAATTATATACCATTTTTAACACATATATGTTATACGCAGACATATGTAGCAAATATAGTAGACTCGACTTAGGATACTCCAATAGTCAATGTGATTTATATCCACTGGGATCTTGATCATAACAATATACAATAGTCTTGAGCATAACTATAAGGTTATACGTTATAGAAACCAACCTTATAGAAGCCTCATTAATCTATAGACAATTCCTCGAATGGGTTAATCTTGTCATGTAAATTCAGTCATGGTGTAATTATGTTATTTCAAGCATTTTGTTATATGGTATTTTTACGTTAACTCAAAATAAATGACAATCATTGTTAATCCATTCTTAGCAGTCCATAGCCACTAATTGACTCATACACTCACACCTATTAATTAACAACTACCAATGCAACACCACCAGTCAAGACCAGTTATTAACACGTTCTGACAAACACTCATAAATCCTGGTCGACGAAGCAAACTGCAATCCACTATTACTAATCCACACATCAGCATTATCCATGCTAATTTGAAGACCAAGTGCTAGACTTCACCCACATAAATTCGAGTAAGTGATTGGAATCTCACTTCCCCTCCTAATCCCAGTCTCTGTGGAAGAAGTGCCTAGCGATCGTTGGACGGATGCGAACATGAGTGATATGGATCCTGGAGAGGATAAGGCCGCAGTTTTTGGCCACAGGAGAGACACAGCCCCAACACACCACCTCCATCACCATCTCCAACATCCTACACACATTCTCCAAAACTGACATCACCGGCGTCAGCACCCACACATTCTGAAATAAAGGTAAAAAGGAGTTTTATGTGATACGACGTTTGTTGTACTTAAGGGTTGTGACAGCTTGAGGAGCTGTATTGACCCGACGTTTGTTGTACTTAAGGGTTGTGACAGCTCGAGGAGCTGTATTGACCCGACGTTTGTTGTATTTAAGGGCTGTGAAAGCTCGAGGAGCTGTATTGACCCGACGTTTGTTGTACTTAAGGGTTGTAATAGCTCGAGGAGCCGTATTAACCCTTATCATTTATA